TTTTTATGGTGAAGTTTCATTGTTGAGGGTGTGGCACAACCACAGATTACACATCATCGCAGATGCTTGATGGCAGATGAGGTCAATATACACTGGCATGTTCCAGTAAGCCCTTAATATTATTGTTTAAGACTCCTAACGACTCTGGGAACATTCCATATCTGTTCTGTGTAGCTAAATTTTTTGATAATATATCTTAACTATTTCCTATGGTTAAGCCTGTAGTTATTCTTGATAAATCAATTTGGTAACAGTTGTTCCTTAATGGTGCGATAATGTTTGATTAAAACCAAGAGATTAGTTTCTCTTATTTTAAGTGTTGGTCATCTGGTGTTCTTATTAACTTCGCATATATGTTGATCACAAGGTATTTATGTTTTTATTAATACATTAAGTTTAGCATTTGGATAGTGAATCGACTCAACCACAGTCCACCAGCTTTCATATCTGCTCTCTCTAAATGAGTAATTGAATGTGCCACCCCATGATTGTTTCTGTGAATCTCATTATAGTTTCAACTGGTTTTCAGGTCAAATATGGTGACACTTTGAAGCGTTTCAATTCTTCTGTGAATGGTTCACACTTTGATCATGATCTGCCTGCCCTTCGCTTGAAGATTGCAAGTGCCTTTAAGTTCAGTCCTGACACTGAATTCATTCTCACCTATACTGATGACGATGGAGATGATGTCATGCTGGATGATGATAATGATCTACGTGATGCTGCTGTTAATCAGAAACTAAACCCTCTTAGGATTATTGTTCAATTGAAGGGCAGCAATGTTGGGGCAGCTCGGACAAAACAGCACACCACAAATTTCAATTCTCCTAGGTCAACATCTCTTGAAGATCAACTAGCTCAGGTGAAATCAGCTATTGATGAAGCTTTAAAGTTTGTACCAGAGCAAATCCCTGCTGTCTTTGCAAAACTATCTCACGACTTGCGCTCTAGAGCTGCATTATCTGCACCGTCATTGGCTGAATTGCTGGACCGTCTTGCTAAACTGGTAGCACGAAGCAGCAACATGCAGCCTTCTGGTGGCTCTGAAGTTGGTTCACAAAAATTGGGAAATTCAAAGGGTAAGCTTGAATCTGCACCTATCACAGTTTCAGCTTCCGAGCCCTCAGACATGCAAAATTCTGGGACACCTGAAAATGGTCTTAAGAGTGTGCTATTGGAGAATCCCACTGCTAAAATTGATCAGGTGGCATTATATCCTTCAGTTGAGGATTCACTGGTTTTTACTAGCTTAGGTGGAATGAAATCTGAACTCAAGCGGAGTGCTGATAATGAAATAAAGATAAAATCTGATGCTCACAGTAAGGGTAAATCGGTCATATCCTCTGCACCGCCTGCTTCCACCACATCTCATGGTGCTCTTACACAACAACCTATTCCTGTGCCATCTATGCATGAAAGCAAACTAATGTATGGAACAAACCCTACCTATACATCCTGCGGATCCAATGGAACAGCTAATGGTGGTTTGCGATCGCTATTCCCTCCACCTGTAGTCTTCCATCCTCGCTCACCAGTTTTCACCCCTTACAATCCAATCTTTGGAGCCAATGGAAAAACTAGTGGTGATATGCTGTCAACTTTCTCCCCTCCACCCAACATCTATCCTTTTGAGTACACACCTTCGTCTGTTGGTACGCGCTTTCCTAACCCCTACCCTATTGGGAGTTCACATGATCGTATGGCCTCTTTGCATTGTAATGTACCCAATCCAGCAGAGAAATCTTTTGGGAGTTCTTACAGAGGTCTTGGTGCCAATTACGGGAGCATCCCACAACACGAACAGCATAGATGGGTACAATGTGATGGATGTGGAGTGACACCAATTGTTGGGCCTCGCTACAAGTCTAATGTGTAAGTTATTAACTTCAGTACTAGTCTTAAATATAGTTTCTGTTTATTCTGACATGCTTCCTTGCTGACAGTAAAGAAGACTATGATCTGTGTGGGGCTTGTTTTTCTCACATTGGCAATGAGGCTGAATATACCAGAATGGACAGTCCTGCTTCAAGATGTGTAAGTTTGAGCGGCACTTAGTTGGCTATATGAGTATCCATTACTGTATAGTATCTATGCAATAGTAAGAGTGATAGGATTCCACCTTACGTTGTTTGACCCTGTCATCAGAACATAAAGATTCTTGAGCGGGTTCCGGCGGCAAAAACAAACTCTCTCTTCATCAAGGATGTTACTGTCCCTGATGGAACACCAATGGCACCGTCACATCCATTTACCAAGATTTGGCGGGTACGTAACAATGGGTCTACTAGGTGGCCGTATGGCACCCAACTTGTCTGGGTTGGTGGAGATCACTTGGCATCCCCGAGTTCAGTCAGACTAGCGGTATGTACTTGCTATATGAATTTAGCATCTGTGTAAACTGAGCGCAGGATGGGATGCAAATTCATTAAGTCTCACTTATATTTGATGTGCATGCAGATTTCGGTAAATGGGAGGATAAATCCGTGCGAAGAGACTGATGTAACCGTCGACTTCCTTGCCCCTGCAAGGCCTGGTAGGTACATATCTTACTGGAGATTGGCACTACCCTCAGGTCAGAGATTTGGTCAGCAAATTTGGGTTCATATTAAGGTTGTTACTCTACCATTGCCTGCTTTTGTCCTTGTCACATTGATGCTTACATTTATCTGATCATTGACATGTTAAATTTGAGTGCAGGTGGAGCAGCCTATTCAATCTAGTGGCGGCAAGCAGGCTGCTGCAATGAACCTGAATCAGCTCCCAGAAGCCAACAGCACAAAATTAAAGCCTTTCACAATTGATCTTGAAACAAACAGTGTTTCCTCAGAACCTTTCTATGGATGCCCTGGAATCCCAGAAGCCAACAGCACAAAACTGAAGCCTTTCATACTTGATCTTGAGACAAACAGTGTGTCCTCTGAACCTTTGAGATGCCCTTTAAGCTTTCGGGAAACCATGAAACTCGAGGAATCTAAGCCTGCTCCTGGTGATATGTCCTCTGTCCCAACAATAGTTGAGCCGGTGCAAAATCCTGTCACTGATGTTTCTCCCAAATCTTTATTGGCTTCAATACCTGATGGTGTGCCTGCATCGGAAGCCTTTCCCCAGCCCAACCCTGTGCCTATGCTTCCTGTTAGCTCTTCTGCGCCTGTTGTTGATCATGTTAGCATGCCTGTGCCGGCAGCTACTATTGCTCCTGTTCCAGCAGCACCCTTGCCTGAACAGATCATCAACCACCTGGAGGAGAAGCTGATGACTGAGCTGGAGGGTCTGGGCTTCCTTCAGGCTGACCTGAACAAGCAGATACTCCGGCAGAACAACTACGACCTGGAGCAGTCTGTTGCCCACCTCTGTGACTACGATGAATGGGATGCTCTTGAGTTCTCTGAGCTGGTAAGTAAGACCATATATGTCCATCCTATATTGACACTATTGTGAACTTTCTGAACCTGTGTCTGATTGCCTCTAGGGATTTGGTGACGCAGAGATGAACAAGGAGGTGGTTGACAACAGCGACGAAGAAGGATTCATCGTGGCGGATCTTGTGACCAAGGCGGCAAATGATCATTAATGGATGATGGCTGTCTCGGTGTCTCCTGTCTGCTATTCCTAGTACAATATAGATGTAAATAAGTAGTGGTATGCTTGAATAAGTTGATGGAAGCGAGGCATGTTGCCTGAACCTTGTGGGGGGCATGCGATGTGGTTTAATGATCACGTATGCACTATGCACTATCTTAAAGCAGGATAAGTTAGTAGGTGAACTGCTGCTATTATGTTACCGTAATCCTTTTATTAAAGCATGTTAATTTAGTAGGTGAACTCCTGCTATTATGTACCGTAGTTGCAGTTTTATTATGTGTTAGTTTCATTATGTGCCCTTATCGCGAATTTCTTTGATTTCTTCGAGCTGTTCTTAAATTCATTCCGTACCGACAGACAAATTACTATTTTCCCCTTTCACCTTTTTTTCCTGAGATGGTTTTCGAAACGGTCTTTGAAAAAAAAGTTCGTTGAGAGTTGAGACTGCATTAGAAAATAGAAATAAGTTGATTTTGATGACGTCCATATGGTACATTGGTACTAGGGGAGAATCAACTCATACACCTGTTAAAATGTCAATCTATAAGGTTTTTTACGAGTAACTTAGATAATACCAGTCCATCTTGGCTTGGTTGTCCTTCGACTACCAACATCTATGAAATATTATTGTTTTAAATTTACATATTATAAGTATTTCATGGTAAAACTAGTACGTAATATGATTGATATGTAGTCTGTCATGTAAAACTGTAAATATTTATGGACAATTAAAATAATTTGAATTAGAACAAATCTTAAAATGTCAAACATTTATGACTGTTGATACTCGGATGATATACAAATTATACGTCGCTTTGACTTTTTTTTTACATCTATTTTATTATATATATATATATAGACATAAATTATATCTAATACATAATACATAGCAAAATCAATATAAAAAAAAAAGTCAAAACAACTTCTAGTTCAGAACAGGAGGGAGTACATGGATTAAGATGATTTCGACATCTGAATGACCAGAGAACATCAAATGGAACGGATGGGCAAGCTGAGTCAACAACAACAACAACAACAATAACAACAACAAAGCCTTTAAGTCCCAAACAAGTTGGGATAGGCTAAAGTTAAAACACAACACAAGCAATCAAGGTTCAGACAAGTGAATAGCTGTTTTCCGAGCAAAGCAGAAGCAATGGGCGAGCTGAGTACATGTAACAAAAAATCACAGCGAGGGTGAAACCCAAATACCTGAATACAGGTTTATCTCTTAACAATGTTCATCTTGAGTGTAATCTCAAGTCCTATAAAACTTTTTATACTGTTATTTAATGGAGTAGAAACATAGCAAAACCGTATGACGGACTCACCAGGAACACATCGATTTCCTAGTAATAAAGTTTTGGTAAAACATTAGTTGTATGTACATGACACGCATACACACAAAGCATAAGTTATCAAAACTGCTGGTCCAGGTATGCATCTTTCTCTGACTTGTTCCCACCAAGGTACCCTACCAAACTCCCAGAAACGCCCGTGACCCAGGAGACGCTGCGATCCAGCCAAGCCTTAGGAGTCGATGACGCTTGTGGGGTCTCTGCTTCAATGCGCCTCTGTTCTTCCTCGAGCAAGATGTCCAGCCACCTCTTTGACATGTACTCTTTCACTGCATCCACACCCTTGTTCACAATGGCCTCTGGTGGTATGGCCAGGGGGTTCTGCTCTAGGTTGAGCTTCTCCAGTTTATCCAGCCGACCAAATGTGTCAGGGAGAGCATGAATCTGGTTATTGCTCAGGTCAAGTTCACGCAGATTCAGCAAGTCACCAAACGAAGAGGGAAGCTCCTTCAAGTCACTGAAGTTGCTGCTAAGGTTGAGAATTTCAAGACTGCTAAGCTTCCCGAAGGCAGATGGCAGACCGCATAGTTCATTGAAATGGGCATCCAGGAGGTACAGTGACGTCATCTCACAGACAGAAGATGGAAGAGAACGCAATTTGTTCATGTGGATCCAGAGCTTTCGCAGATTTATCAGCTCATAACCAATGTTTGTTGGCAGATAAGCGAGGCCATTGTAGCTCACATCAAGCTCAACTAGCAACCTGAAGTTTGATATCAATCAGTTGGATAGTATAATTTACTGGCCAAAGAAAAGAACCATAGTTTTATCTACCTGCACTTGGAGATGCTATCTGGCAATGCCCTGAGCCTATTACTTGACACATTCAGAATCTTCAGATTGGATAGCAGTCCAATGGTATCAGGAAGGGAAATCAAAGCATTGGCAGCGAGACAAAGCTCTTCAAGATGATCAAGTCCTCCTATAGCATCTGGAATAACCTACAGTGACATTGAAACAGAAATTTATTAATCAATCAAGCATGGGAACAAAAACTGTAATTGACAGAATGTATACAAATCCTGTCGTGGAATTACAACTCAAAACCCTTCAGAATCTATTGGTTAATTAGTACTTGAGAAAGATGGTGAGCATTTTGTAGATAACGTTTGCTTGTCTTTTTTTTTATGATGATATGTCAAAACAAATTACACAAGATATAAAGATCACATGCGCATACAGACAAGCAATATTGCAAAGTATAAAAAAGGAACAGAAGTTAGTTCTGTTCCAAACTATGATTTACAAATTCTAAACTGAGCAAGAAATCCATGGATTTTATGATAGAATTAAACTAATATGTACAAAGATGGACACACTTTAGTCAATCATTTAAGCAAACCATTTGCATTATGTAGCAGTTTCATCAGGTATAATGCAGTTTCAGCCTGATACCACTTGATACTTTATTTTTGCAAGAATATTCAAATTCAGCTACTATCACCCAAATATTACATGATTTCAATCTCAGTACTAACACCTGCATAGCCTAATTATTTTCACCCAAAATATACCTGCTCCTTGTCCTGAGGAAAAAAATTCACTCAAACACATGAATATCCAATTTAGTATTTAATAATCAAATAAGAACTGTTGGGAAATATAAACAACTCATTCACTTCTTTTTGCAGTTAACAAAATGTAACTAGCAGTTTTTTCCATATCATAAAATTTGTCAACTCATTCGCCCATTTTTTACAGTAAACAAAGTGTAACTAGCACTCTAGCAGTTTGTTCCATGCGTGCACAGATCAGGCATACGGCATACCATACACATAATCACTATCATTCCGTTCCGTTGTTATGCAAAGAAAAAAAAAACAATCAGCCATCACATAAGAGTTCATCCATTTGCAGGCCATAAAAAAACAGTGGAATATAACAATGCTCATCCACAACTAACACCCGAAAAATAGCATTTCATGGTTCATAGACAGAAGGCACTGACATAGGCACTCTAAACAAATAGTAGTAGATCGATCTTAACATGCATGAAGATGCCCAGTTTGTTACCTCGAGCTGGTTGCGCGAGACATCGAGGACACGGAGCCCCAGAATCCTCCCGAACGCCTCGGGCAGTTGGCGAAGCTGGCGATCCACGAGGCGCACGCTCTCCACCGGCTTGCCCTCCTCGGCCTGCTTGAGCACAGCCACCACCTCCTCCTGCACGGCCGCGTCCCCGGCCCCGCCCTCAGGCCCCGCGGCCGCCGGACCTTCACCCTTGCCGCTCTCCGCCGCCGCCTCGTCGTCATCCAGGTCCGTCCCCTCCATCGCGGAGCGGTACACCCTCTCGAGCCTGGCCTCGGCCTCGTGCAGGAGGGCCTCGTAGGCGTCGTGGGTCTCCTCAAGGCGCACCACCGCGCGGCACGCCTCGGCGTCGGCCTCGGGGATCCGCGCGTCCCCGGCCTCGGCGGCGGCCACGATGGCGCGGGAGGAGTCGACGAGCTCGTGGTCGGGGCGCGGGCCGAGCACCTGGAGCGCGGCGCGCGCGGCGGAGACGTCGGCGACGGCGCGCGTCATGGCGCGGAGCACGGACGGGTGGCGCAGCCCCGGCATACGCTCGACGAGCTCGAACTCCCCCGCGGACGGGGAGGACGGCGTCGTCCGCGGGGACGGGGTGTGCACGGGCGGCTGCTCGATGTCGAACTCGGAGGAGGTGGGGGCCTTGTTGGGCTTGGCGAGGGTGGGGATGCGGGAGAGCACGTAGGAGAGGATCGGGTGCGTCTGCGGCGCCGGATCCATGGCCGCCGGATCGGAGTGGGGAGATCGGAGTGCGGAGCGGACGGGGGAGCGGGCGGAGGAAGATGCTTTTGTGGAGCTATGCGGGGGCCTGCGGGGTTTGGGAAAGCGAAGTCCACGAGCTGTTAGCTGATTTGATACTGTTTGTTGGCTGCCAAACGAACAGGTGAGACTGGAGCGGCTTGAAGGGGGAGGGCGGAGTCAGATAACGGGGTGACCGGATGAGCCTGGCCTCATGGCCGGCAGATTCGCGGGGTAGTTTTCAACTTTCGGCTATCCAGGGTCCCAAACGGTAAAGATGGCAGTAGGTCGGGTTCGGGGCGGATATCCGTGGATTTCGGGTCCACGGGTTTCGATTTTGGTTCCAGGTTTTCGCCCACGAATTTTCGGGTTCGGATATCTGAAATCCAACGGGTTTGGGGCGGTGTTTATTTTTAACCGTGGAGCTCCATCGGGCCCCGAAACAAACAGCCTACCAGAGGCCCAACTAAAACCCTAGTATATAATGCCGGAATCCTCACTTCCTCAGCCCTCACCCGTTCCCCTCCCACCCGACGGCGGCAGTGGCTCAACGCCTCACCCCGACCTCGAGTCCCCGAGACCCCGGCAGGCGACGGCGGCCTCAGCGGCCAGCGCCTCACGCCCTCACCCTGACAGGCTCACGGCGCTCGACGGCGGGCGGCCTCCTCGAGTCCTCGGCCCCGCCCGTCTAAACCGGGAGCAATGCCGCATCAGATCGGCCATGCGCCGAGCCAGCCCAGAGCGCGTGCACTGCAGGGCGGCCCACCGAGCACAAAGCCTCGGGGAGGCGGGGAGGCGAGGACACTGCGCAAGCAGAGGGCTGAGTGGCCTCATCCGCCAAGCACCATATGCGCGATCCCGCGGCCAAGACGGTGGTCGTGAGACGCCAAGCGCCCCACCCGACGCCCCGAGCCCCCGACGAGCGACCTCGGCGCCTCGCCAGTCCGCGACCTCACCGACTTCCTCTCTCTCCCTCATCCCCACAGTGGATCCGGCGCGCAGACCTCAACGGCGGGCACATGGCGGACTCTACCGGCCAATGAGGAGTCAGAACGGCGGCAGCGCGCATGAGCAGTGCTCTCTGCAATGGTGGACCGACACATGGTGGCTACTGGCGGCGGCATGCCCTCTCCCATGCAACAAGGAATCTGCCCCTCTCTCTCCTGGTGGCGCTGGCAAGGCGCCGCTTCGACTTCGGCGGCGGCTCGCCCTCTCGATCTCTCTCTCTCTCTCTCTCTCTCTCTCTCTCTCTCTCTCTCTCTCTCGGTCGCGGACACGGAGTGCCCCCATCAGCGCTCGGCGGGTTTCGGATTATCCGACGGGTTTCAGGGATCCGTGGGTTTCGGTTTTGGGGATGGATTTTCACCCGAATTGGTGTTCGGGGCGGTTTCGGGTTTTAGGTTTGGGTTTCGGTTTTGGGTGCCCAAACACTCCACCCGATCCGAACCCGCCCCGTTGCCATTCTTACCAAACTGCACTGCCTTGCTGGGGAAGTTCAGTTTGAATGATATTTACCCAATTTTCATGTCAAAGTTAGCTTTCCACTAAATCCATGGGGGCCTCTTTTCCCCTAGTACTACTACTGCACAAGATAAAAAGACTCTAGATTTAGGATTCTGACCTTGTTTTTCAAGTCAGCGTTGACACATCCCAGATCTAAATTTGGGATTCGCAACTTGCTTGGCTTGGACTAGTAGCACTCAGGCAATTTTAGCCAAACTCCAGCAATTTACTCCCTCTTATCATAAAATAATAACTGGTAAGAGTTATTCAAACCTTTAAAAGTTTAAACATCAATAATTTTCAATCGTAAGATATATGTGTAAATTGTATTTCGAATACTTGCAAAATCTTGTAAATTCGAAGGATTTTAAGGTTATTTTCAGAAGAAAATAGTGGTCAAGCAATACAACGTTAAATGGGGAAATATTTTGTAAATGGAGGAAGTATTCCGTAGTACTCCTATGTAATGTCAAAATTCAGCAAGATTAGGCCATGCCGTTCATACCATATTTTGGCTTAGATGAGTATGAGACGGTGAAACTGGAAAATAAAATTGCTTCACCAGTTCCCTAGTTTAGAGGAGAGAACATGCTACTGATGGAGAAGACGATAACGTTCTTCCGAGGCAGCAAGCTCGAAACTGCCCTAATGGTGACACGTGCCAACACGAGGGGAGAGGTGGCTCGGTGCTTGTGGATTCATGTGCCGGTGCGGCATTGCGCACAATACTTATAGCACAAAATCAATTGGGGAGATTTCTGGCACCGCTCGCCATAGTTGGCCATGCAGCTCGGAGCCCGTCGGCCCAGCCCAAGGCCCTTTTTTTGGCCCGGCCCGGCGGCTGGCGGGCCCGGGCTGGCACGGCCCGGAGGAACAGGCCGTGCCTGGGCCTTACCGTAGGCACGTGGGCGGCATGGCACGGCCCGCTACAGAACCAGAGGCCCGCGGACGGCCCGCCCTACTCGTCTGTCGCAGCCGCAGGCCCGCAGCCTCCTCCCCCATCCCCACGAGGCCGCGAGCCCCACGCTTCCAGTTCCCAGCTCCCACCCCCGAATCCCTGATTCCCCTCCCCCTCCCCGCGCAGCCCCGAAACGGCGAACCCTAACTCCCTTCCCCTCTCTCTCCCGGCGCAACAACGGTGCCAGCGCCCCTCTCCTTCCCTCCCGACGGCAGCCCCTCTCGCTTGGCCCCTGCAGCGGCCCCCCGTTGTGGAGCTCGCAGCCCCTGCAGCGGCGCTCTACTGCCCTAGCGAGGAGGCGGCGGGATCCGGCGCTCCCCTGCAGCGGCTCTCCTCCGACGGAGCTCCCCTGTAGCGGCGGGATCCGGCGCTCCCTGCAGCGGCTCTCCTCCGGTGCGGACGTCTCCGGGCAGGGGCGGCGTGGATCTAGCGCGGGACCGCGTGGATCTCCTCCTCCGTGGCGGATCCGCTCCCCGCGTCCTCCCTCCCTCCCTCCCTCCCTTCTCCAGCGGATCCAGTGAACAGCGGCGGCGACGCGTGGATATGGGCTCGGGAGCGGCGGATCCGGCACCGGTGCAACAGCGACGAGCGGATCCCCTTCGCGCTTCCCCTCTCTCTCTGTCGGCCGCTTGCGAGCGGCATCACCCTTCCCCCCTCTCTCTCTCTCTGTTGGCATCCAGTGGGCCTCGGGCTGGCACGGCCCGTGATTCTGGCCATGCCTCGCGGGCCGGCACGGCACGGAAATCAGCCCATAGGGCCGTGCCTGGGCCGGAGGCCAGGCCCGTGGGCCGGTGAGGCACGACCCGGGAGGCACGGCGTGCCGTGTTGGCCCATTGGCTATCGGGCCGTGCCGGCCCGTTGGCCATCTATACCGCTCGCTCGGCGCGACCGAACAAGCAGAGATGCCCGAGGTTCCATATGCTGCCCACGTTCCACATGGCGTCCCACCGTGCCTCTGCCGGCGCGCACCGTGCGACCAAACAAGCAGAGATGCACGAGGTTCCATATGCTGCCCACGTTCCACATGGCGTCCCACCGTGCCTCTGCCGGCGCGCACCGCGTAGCCCAACCGCTCCACCATGGGGCTGTAGCCGACCGAGCAACCACAGCCATGTGTCGTGAATTCAGGAGGGCACACGCCTCAACCTGTCGACCGTCGGCTCGGCAGCGCTCTGTTCCATTTGTTTCGTTTAGTTACAGACTTGTAGTTTCATCCAGACAAAATATTTGTTTCGTTTATTACAGAACTAAAGAGCTTTCTACGGTCTTGCCGTCTGCAACAGCCGGGAGGATGGAGAACAAAACGGCAGTGCTAGTGCTGGACGTCCGCGCTTGCACTTCGTTTCACACGCTCCACGCAGGGACCGTACCGTCTCAAACGTTAACAACATCGAGAAGAGGAGGCAGCGGAGCCCACCTACGCTTTTGGTTTGGATGCCCAGCCGGCGTTGAGAGGAGGTGGAGACACCGAGGCGAGGCAGCAGAAGGTGAGGAGAGGATGCAACACCCGACCTACTTTTGAAACATCCAGATGCAGCACTTGCAACTTACGTCTGAAAACAGATAAAACAATTGAAACATGTATCTGAAACACTTAAAAAAACACCTAAAACCATTGTAAAACATACGCAACATCCAGCTAAAACACTTACAATATACGTGTGAAACATATTCAACATCCACATAAACATACTTACAACATACGTCTGAAAAAATAGATAAAACATTAGGAACATAAGCTTGCAACATACGTGTACAACCATTGTAACATATATAATATCCCGATCTATTTTACAACATTCATATAAAACAATTGTAACATACTATGAAACATTTGAAATATAGGCTTGCAACATGCAGCTTTCATCCTTCTTCTTCTGTACTACGCAGCAAGAGAGGGGGAACGACCAGTTCCGGTCAGCCGAGGGCCGAGGATGGTGGCGTGGACTGGCAACGGCTAGCTACGCCTGGCCTGGGCCTGGCCAGCGACGGCCCCCTCTCCTGGCTGGCTGGCCTGGGCGCAGCGGAGGACGGGGCATGACATGTCAAGATGGAGGACAGATGCACCGCGTTGGATGGCGGCGGCGGGTGGTGGCGGCACGGCGGAGTGGGCGCAGCGCGACGCAGGATGGGACACGCGACGAAAGACGGAGTGGAACGAGCACACACCTACATGTGGAGAGGGGGTTTTTTATTTTTGAAAAGCACGTCCGGACGGACGTACGTTCTCATCCTTTCATTATCGAGAACAAAAGCGCCGGCTCCTCCAGCTGCATGGTTATTGGCTTATTGCTTCCACTTTGGCTGTACGTACAGGAGATGAGAGGCCGGACGATAAACGAAGGGCAGATATTACCGATCAGAATGAGACGGTTTGGATCACTCGCTGTGAGGTTTTGTTTTATAAGAGATACAGATTCGTCATTAGCTGTCTGGAAAACAAAAAACCAGGATAAGTGAACTATAATCACATAACAACAACAACAACAACAACAACAAAGCCTTTAAGTCCCAAACAAGTTGGGGTAGGCTAGAGTTAAAACCCAACAGAAACAATCAAGGTTCAAGCACGTGAATAGCTGTCTTCCAAGCATTCCTATCTAAGGCTAAGTCTTTGGGTATATTTCATCCTTTCAAGTCTCCTTTTATTGCCTCTACCCAAGTCAACTTCGGTCTTCCTCTGCCTCTCTTCACGTTACTATCCTGACTTAGGATTCCACTACGCACCGGTGCATCTGAAGGTCTCCGTTGCACATGTCCAAACCATCTCAACCGGTGTTGGACAAGCTTTTCTTCAATTGGCGCTACCCCTAATCTCTCACGTATATCATCGTTCCGAACTCGATCCCTTCTTGTATGCCCGCAAATCCAACGCAACATACGCATTTCCGCGACACTTAGCTGTTGAATATGTCATCTTTTCGTAGGCCAACATTCTGCATCATACAACATAGCAGGTCTAATCGCCGTCCTATATAAAACTTGCCTTTTAGCTTCTGGTGGTACCCTTTTGTCACATAGGACACAGACGCTTGCCGCCACTTCATCCACCCTGCTTTGATTCTATGGCTAACATCTTCATCAATATCTCCGTCCCTCTGTAGCATTGATCCTAAATATCGAAAAGGTATCCATCCTAGGAACTACTTGACCTTCCAAACTAACATCTTCCTCCTCCCGAGTAGTAGTGCCAAGTCACATCTCATATACTCGGTTTTAGTTCTACTAAGTCTAAAACCTTTGGACTCCAAAGTCTCCCGCCATAACTTCAGCTTCGATTCACTCCGTCCGCTTTCATCAACTAGCACTACATCGTCTGCATGAAAAGCATACACCAAGGATGTCCCCTTGTATGTCCCTTGTGACCTCATCCATCACTAAAGCAAACAAATAAGGGCTCAAAGTGACCCTTGATGTAGTCCTATCCTAATCGGAAGTCATCCGTGTCTCCATCACTTGTTCGAACTCTAGTCACAACATTGTTGTACATGTCCTTAATGAGCCCGGCGTGACGCGTTGGGACTTTATGTTTGTCCAAAGCCCACCACATAACATTCCTTGGTATTTTATCATAAGCCTTCTCCAAGTCAATAAAAACCATGTGTAGGTCCTTCTTCTTCTCCCTATACCGCTCCATAACTTGTCTTATTAAGAAAATGGCTTCCATCGTTGACCTTCCGGGCATGAAACCAAATTGGTTCATAGAGACCAGCGTTATTGCTCTCAAGCGATGCTCGATAACTCTCTCCCATAGCTTCATAGTATGGCTCATCAACTTAATTCCCGGTAATTTGTACAACTTTGAATATCCCTTTTATTCTTGTAGATCGGTACCAATATACTTCTCCTCCACTCATCAGGCATCTTGTTTGATCGAAAAATATGGTTGAACAACTTGGTCAACCATACTACAGCTATGTCCCCGAGGCATCTCCACACCTCGATTGGGATACCATCCGGTCTCATCGCCTTACCTCCTTTCATCCTTTTCAACGCCTCTCGACCTCGATTCTTGGATTCTCCGCTTTAAGCGCCTATTGGTGTCATCAAAAGAGTCATCCAACCGAAAGGTTGTGTCCATATTCTCACCATTGAACAATTTGTCAAAATACTCTTGCCATCGATGTCGGATCTCATCCTTCTTTACCAAGAGATGCTCCCTTTCATCCTTAATGCACTTAACTTGGTTGAAGTCCCGTGTCTTTCTCTCACGAACCCTAGCCATCGTATAAATGTCATTCTCTCCTTCCTTCATACTCAAATGTTGGTAAAGATCCTCGTACGCTCTACCCTTTGCCACACTTACATACCGCTTTACGCCTTCTTTGCCACCTTGTACTTCTCTATGTTGTCCACACTCTGTCATGGTACAAGCGTCTATAGCATTCTTTCTTCTCCTTAATAGCCCTTTGGACTTCCTCATTCCACCACCAAGTGTCTTTAGCCTCGCGTCCCCTTCCTTTGGTTACTCCACACACCTCTGAGGCTACCTTCCGAATGTTGGTTGCCATCTTGTCCCACATATTGTTTATGTCGCCTTCCTCCTTCTAAGAGCCCTCTTTGATAACCCTTTCCCTAAATACCTCTCGACGTCTCCCCTTTACTGCTTTCCACCACTTTGTTCTTTCAATCTTAGCTTGTTTATCCCTCACGGCACGCACTTTTGAAAAAGCAAAATCGCCACCAAAAGCTTATGTTGAGAAACAACACACTCCCCAGTATCACCTTGCAATCCAAGCATGCTCGTTTGTCCTTTCTTCTTGCGAGGATAAAGTCAATCTGCTACAAAGATGTTGTCCGCCATCAAGGTCACTAGATGAGATTATCTCTTTCTAAAGAAAGTGTTGGCTATCATCGGGTCAAAAGCTACCGCTGAAGTCCGAACTTCCTCCCCTCCCGATTCCTACTACCATACCCAAAACCTCCATGAATCGCCTCGAACTCAAAGCTTGTAGTACCTACATGCCCATTAAGATCTCCTCCTATAAAAGCTTCTCACTACTAGGTATAGCTCTAACCAGTGCCATCTAAGTCTTCCCAGGCTGTCTCTTAGCACTCTCGTCGAGGCTCTACTTGGGGGCATACGCACTAATTACGCTCAAGACCATATCACCAACGACAAGCTTGACTAAGATAATCCTATCTCCTTGCCTTCTCACTCCCACCACACCATTCTTGAGGCTCTTATCAATCAAAACTCCTACTCTATTTCTATTCGCATTGTCCACAGATACCAAAGCTTGAAACTTGTATTGTCCACCTCCTTCGCCTTCCCGACCCTTCCATTTAGTCTCTTGAACGATAATATATTTACACGCCTCCTAGTCGCGGTATCAACTAATTCTCTTAACTTACCACAAGTGACCCTATATTCCAACTACCTAAACGGATCCTAGTTGGTTCGACTAGCTTCCTTACCCTTCGCACCCGTCGACTACGATGCGTAAGACCCTTGCTCATTTTTCACTACACCGGGCGCCGATGTAGCGCTACCACTAAGGAAGCTAACGACCCGATCCTTGGTTACTTGACACCATGCCCAGATCACGACACGGCGCGTCACGGGGGTGACGACCCAGCCCTTGCCCATTTAACACCATACCCGGGTTCCGATATGGCGCGTCGCTAAGAGGGTTACGCCCCAACGATTTTCTTTCGGGTTAAATTTGGTAATATTCTAGACAGTCTTTTCTTCTAGTATTTCATAAAACCTTGCGACATGACACATTTTCATCAGTTTCTTTGTACTCGTACTACTACTCCTGGGAGAACAGAGTGAGATCTCTACTCATTCTTGCATTAGCATTGATCCAAACCTTAGTCTACTCCCCTCTCAACTATAGATTATATAAAGCTAGCAAGGCACTAACCGTCATCCCAATAGAGAAGCAAGCTCACAACAAAAGCTGATGTTACTTTCATCTATATAGTAGGAGAGAAAAAACGTCCAAATATAAAAACTAAAGCCTGAAAGATAAGAAAAGCAGTGAAGCCATCTGCAGCCTTAGCAGAAAAACAAAACTACTCCAGATGGAGGTATTGCTGGCAGCACTAGTGGAATGTGTCTTGAATTCTATAGTTCCTGAATAGACATTTCCATTTACAGAGGAAGAGGGAGATGTAGTCTGATTTGGTGCCCCAGTGTCCTTGCATGCACCCATTGGTGCCCCAGCCTGCAGATATTCAACAAAAACCACCAATATGAAAAAAAAGATGATAGAATTTGTATGCTCCAAAAGAGAATGTTCGACGGTCTTCTTGAACAAGTCAGCCCTGGTGCTAATAATCATAGAAAACAAATAGCATGCTAACTCAAAAGGGACAAAAAGTGTCCCAGCATTAAGAGTTAAAACTAAAGCGCTTTGCAATTACCTGGCAAGCAGCAATGGTGTCACAACCACATAAGGTGCGGCCATTGATTCTGTCTTGAACATCAAAAACACCACCACCATCGCTTCGCTGCACATATCACAGTAAGAAATTTTCTATTCCATACAACAAGGGTATCTTGTTTGTAACTGTGGGAAACAAATATTACCATGTAGAAATTCACAGCTATGAAGTTCGGGATTCTATTTCCAGCTGCAGCATAACAAGCTTGGGCCATTTGTGGTAGCCCAGAATTCTCTTTACATGCTTCATTCTGCACAGGCATCGTGGGGAAGTAATTTTGCAGAAATAGAGATGCAGACCTTGAGTTCAGTGGCTGTGATTCCTTCCTGTTTGGACAAGAACCAGGCACAATCCCTGGATCTCCAGCTGCCATGATTATGAGAAATGAAATATGAATTTGAATACAGAAGAAACTCTTATGTTTGTCCTTGGTGTAAGGTAGGAAGCAAAGTCAATTGTGGATGCATTATAGTTGAGTAATAGTTACCACGGTAATTACCAATTCATTTCTCATATGGCAATTATAGATGGCCACCAGGCCAATCTGAGGCATAATCTAGCCTCTTTGTTAGGAATGCAAATTCTAAACTCGATGCTTGTCTTGCAATAAATAAAGTCACAAACCAAACTCCTGGTGTCAACAAATTTATAGCTATTTATAATCAAATTTCATCATGTGAAGTTTGTGGAAGGACACTTACTACTTAATTTATTCTCTTCTTTAGATACATAACAAAACCTATATACCTAGAAAAGACAAAACGACTTACAATTTGGAACAGAGGGAGTAGTACACATTGTAAATGAAATATTTCAGATTTGGTCATCACTATTTCCTACTCCATCGGTAAAAAAATACTTCACAATTCACATTTTGACACTACATGGTCTTTGATGCATATATTGACCAATAATATATTGTAGAATATATTCTTAAAACCCTTCAAGTTCATGAGATATTACAGGTATTTTCCAATACAAATCTAGACATATCTTACATGTTCCCAAACTAAATAACAAAGTTATTGATGTTTAATCAAATCTTCTCCTAATGACATTTTTGTTTTTATGACTGGAGGGAGTACCAATATTCGGGAAAAATGGTTTTTGATGTTACTAGAGCAACGAGAGTTGTACTTACACTCATTCTCTAGCAAGTAGCTCCATTGGTAAGCTATTCCTTCACTAGCCTCTTTTGAAGCATCAGAAGTGAACACCAGCAACCTGCGGTTTTTTGCAACCATATCTGTGACACTTGGCCAGTCCTTGCCACCAGTTGGCATTTCCGAGATGGGATACCAATACTTCATCAAGTCAGCAGCAGTAAAGACCTTGCTCAGTCCCATCGGTGAATGAACATAATCCTCAATAAATATTGTTATGATCTCTGTGGGATTCTCGGAGAGAAATGCTTCCACCTCTTTTAGTGTGTCAACTGCTGGTACCTAACATTATATTTAAGTTGAACATCTTAGTTTGGGGGCGTTTTGGAGCCCATGTAACATCTCTTGAAGTTTCAGATAAATCTAGAACCAAGAAATAAACTATGGTTTCCTACATTTATTCACACCAGTTGAGGTCTGGAGGAGGTGCTATCATAAAAAATTGGGAGCTTCGAGCCCAAACATATAAGTTACAGAATAATGTACCTACATTGCGTTCAGGATAGCCTACCAAATTCTGGGATAGAAAATAAACTGGTAAGTATCTGCAAAGAATAAACTTACGAAAGCGGTGAAGTTATAGCATTGCCCTTGCAGGGAGTGGCAGAGCCATACATCATCGTTGAAGTCATACATATCAAGCATCAATCCCCTGACACCATTCTGCGAACAACACCATTATGAGTTGCTTGATGACACACCTGAAATAAACAGAGGCCCGAGGAATAATTTGGTCATGGATTCAGAACCTACCCTCAATTGGTTGGTGACGGAGTCCTCCTGGTTGTAGAACGTGACCCTCTCAACCCCAGTGCGCGACGGCTCCCCGAGGATGGAAAAGGAATTGTGGGTGACGAGCCATGAGTACCTGTTGAAGGGCAGCCCCTTCACCTGGAGCAAGAAGCGAACCCCCGTAGAATATAGATCAACAACAAAGTGGTTACAGAGAAAGAAGGGGAAAATTACAAGAGGAGAATGCAGTGCACTACAATGGAGGTGGGCTGGATGGCTAGGTCCCTGATGCAGGAGAGCTTGGTCCTGCCTGCGGCGGGGCAGTTGCCGCAGTAGAGGCCCGTGCCGCAGTCGCTCACGGAGGAGCAGGAATCCCCTACCTGCAAACGATAGCCAACCGAATCATTAGTTCATTGACACCCAGCAAACGATAACCAACAGAATCATTCGTTCATTGACACCCAGCGTTGAAGTGAACTCTGGTTCCGAGACCACGAATTATGCGCCCAGATTAACTAGTCGGAAGGCAATTTTAGAATCAACAGAACTGTAGCAAGAACTGAGGCCAGATCCGGACAAAATTTTGATCCACATACCTACAAGCAGCCAGGTATATACAACCAGGAAGTGTCGAACACCGTAGCAAGAATCGGACCGCAAGCGGGCTAATTATGATAGGAGGGAAAGAGGGGCAGGTACCTGGCTGGAGCAGAGGATCAGCAGCAGCGCGATGTGGAGCGAGAGGAGCACGGAGACGGAAGGGGGGAGCAGCGGCGCCGCCATCAGCTGCTGCAAATCAGTGGAGTACAGGCCACCAAACCACGCTCCCCCACCTCTTCTTTCCTTTTCACAGGCCAGGCCAGGAGTGATCAGTACAATCGTCACTGTGAGAGCGAGTGATTTGCCGACAGCTATATACTGACTCTTTTTAAAGCACGATAGATAGCCCAACCTCTGCTCTATTTGGTAAATTTTTTTGGACCAACCAACTGCCCTCGCTGCTAATTAGTTTTTTTTTACCTACATTTAATGGCTTCAGCCAAGGAAAAAAAACTTAGAATTTTGAATGTAAACTAAACAAGGCCCTACTTTTTCTCCAAGTTATTATATTTTTCTCAAGTTATTATATGCATTCTATGTAGGAATGGAAAATGGAAATAGATCCGAATTATTCGACATTTCGTATCCTTTAAACTTATAATATGGATATTTCGTATCTGTTTCCAATGTGAATGCTAAATAGATGTATCCAAATTCGTTTTTCGGTATTCTTCTCTATCCAATTCTAGATCCCTATTGACAAAAATATGGAATATCTAATATTTATCTCTATCCACGAATAACAAGTATAATAATTCTATTTGAAAGTTTTACTAGTGACTAATTGTTTAATTTTAATATTTTTAATGATGTATTGAAACTATTTAATCTATATCTAATAATAAAGAGGTAAAATTTTTCTCCACCTTTTTAGTCTAGCCATCCTTTAACTAAGGGGGTGTTTGGTTTCTCCTTCTAAACTTTAGTCGCTGTTCCATCGGATGTTTGAACACATGCATGGAGTATTAAATATAGATTAATTATAAAACTAATTGCACAACTTGCAACTAATTTGTGAGACTAATCTTTTAAGCCTAATTAGTTCATGATTTGACAATGTAGTTCTACAGTAACATACGCTAATAACGGATTAATTAGGCTTAATAAATTCGTCTCGTAGAGTACTGACGGATTCTGTAATTTGTTTTTTTATTACTATCCGAACACCCCATGCGACACCCTCACATGACACCTTCTAAATTTTAGTCACCGGATCCAAACACCCCCTAACTTTATGAATATAAAAAATCGTCTATTGCCCTTCTCTTTATATAACTAGGAATCCTAATCCAATTAGATCTCTCTTATTTCAGGTGAATAGAAATCTTAATCAAATAGGAAAAATATAATAATATAAACAACTAGGAATCTTAATCCAATTAGATCTCTCCAACTCTGAATAACCAGAGTAGGAATTTTAATCCAAATGCAAAAATATAAGAATAGAAATTTAATAAAGAGAAAAGAATGGTAGAATTTCTTTGTTTTGTTTCTTTTCTGTTCTTTTTTTACTTGTTTTTTGTTTGTCCATTTTTACTTGCTCTGACTACGTTTTGCTTTACATTCATTTGGACGATTTTCACTTGGCTACGAATATGTTCTGATTTTTTTCCGTGGCTATTTTCTAAAGTACATTCCAACTTCTGTCATGACTGTTTTCTACTTGGCTTAGAGAAAATATAATAATATGGACAACCAGGAATCTTAATCCAATTATATCTCTCCAACTTCGAGTAGCCAGAATAGAAATCTTAGTCTAAATGCAAAAATATAAGAATAGAAATCTAATAAGGAGGAAAGAAGGGTATAATTTATTTGTTTCGTTTCTTTTCTGTTCTTTTTTTACTTTTTTCTGGTTTGTTCGTTTTTACTTGCTCCGAGTACGTTTTGCTTTACGTTCATTTGGACATTTTTCACTTGCTACGAATATGTTCTGATTTTTTTTCGTGGCTATTTTCTAGAGTACATTCTAACTTCTGTTATGACTATTTTCTACTTGGCTTCGAGTATGCTCAGAATTTTTTCTCGTGGATGCTTTGACACTAGCTCGACTTTTTTTATTTTGTTTTCATTGTTTTCTCTACCTGTTTTTTCGTGTTCTAATAAATATAATAAAAGTAAAAACAAACAATAAAATAAGAGATCACAGCCATCTTAATCTTTGACTCCTTAGGAAACAAAGATTTTTACCACTAAGTTAATTTAATTTTTGACTCGAACTCATCACCCGTGATCCTATTGCAACGCACAGGCATGTTTGCTAACAGTATATCTATAAATAATTTTTAATGTTAATTTAATGTTATTAATCATACTATAAAAGAGTCAGTTTTTTCCGTAAGAGAGCAAGCTTTTTCCATAAGATGTAAGACTCCAACATCCATACGAAGCAACGTAAGACTCCAACGTCCACACGAGCCAAATTATCCAAATCATCTTGCTCAAGAACTCCGACACTTTAACGCCCCAGCCCGGGAATACGGCTAAGATCCACTCTACACGTTGAATAGACCACACCTGCTAATTAACTCTCTTACGCTTTCGTCCTTACTTCACGCACCCTCCCGGCTCAGACTTCTAGGTTGGTTCAGTTTCCCTCAGGTTCCGGTAAAGTCCCGTAGCTACAGTTTTCTTCGCTGCTACAGTATTCGGCCGTTCGGCCCAGCCCATCGGACCGGCCCAACTTGACCCGTTTAGCGGGGTCTCACAGACACCCATCGAAGCCAAAAAGGACTCCGAAGCCAAAAACTCCAACACTCATACGAGAACCGATCTATAAAGACACTTTATTTCTGTATATTTAAAAAAATGTTTATGATATATATATATATATATATATATATATATATATATATATATATATGAATTGACATATCGAGAATTCAATTAAAATTCCTATTATATTTGAAATATTTTTCATAAACACGCGCATGTATTTGCTAGTGATACATAAAGAGTGAGTTAATTTCAGTATTTTTCTATTTTAGTTTAATCTGAATATAATTGTTGTTGTAAATTACTTTAATTTCTTTAATTGTGTAATTTTTTTATATAATTTATAACTTTATAAAAAATATTTTAAGTTACTCCGTACAAAGCTAATGCATAGACAATTTTTCGCCGCCGGGGGAAGGTCACAACGCGGTCAGGACAGTCGAGCAGATCGAGCTAGGGTTTCGTGGATCGCAGGACACGGGGACCTTTGGGAGGAGACAGCTCCGAGGGAGGCACGGCGACGGCAACTGACGGGGGCTACGCGCGCCGCCTGGCGCGATGCAACACAATAGAAGAAGGAAGAGGAGGGTTCTAGGGAGGGGCCTGGGGAATACCTCGGCGTCCCAACCGTGACGAGTGTGGGCTGTGTGGCACTAGCAAATGTGAAGCTTTTGTAGTTTCTTCAGGACTTCATTATATAGCACATAGTAGTCATAGGTTGTTTTCAAAAACTTGAAATAATAATAGTCTTCTTGGTTCGTATATTTCTGTTAATTAGCAAAAACTGAATCAGGCCAACTTTATATTTTGATGCCATCATGTAATCCAGCTTTTATCGTGTATATATATGCGCAAAATGAAATGACACTTGTATACTTTGTGCTATCAGGGCAAATGCATTCCCAATGTGGAATAGGTTGGTATTTATTTAACAAAATAAAAGCTAGGCTTGGTGAACGAGTGAGACTAGGAGTTGTGTTGCTTCTCCACTGTCAGCAGATCTCGTGGAGGATGTATAAGTTGTCCTCTTCTGAGCTCTGAGCTGTCTTGGATGATTTTTTGGAACTTGGCTTACTGCGGAAACGTTTGCCATCCTGCCATATCCTTCAAACTGAAACACATTTCACCATAAGATGCAATTGGGTATCCAACTGTCATGACCAATTGATTTAGCGGTTGGCGCCAGGTGACGGTGCCCTGTGGGCGGTGCGCAGGCGCGGGAGGGGCTCGGCGGCCACCTCCCTCTCCCCCATCCTCCGTGCTGGCTCCTCAACGCCTCCTCCCGCTGGGGAGCTTGTGCTCCTCTGCTCCAAGAAACCCTAGGTGCCTGTACGGCGGTAGCTGCCCTCTTCGACGCCGGCTGCGGTGGCACGGCGGCGGCGGTGGCCAATCTCGGCGGCTGGATCTGACGCTGACTCACCCTCTTCTTCTCCTCCTTCACCCCATGGCTCCTCCCCCAGATCCTCTCTCCCTCACGTTTTTATAAATAATGATTGATTAATTCATATATTTAATTATTAAATATTTATTGCTAACTATACTATTTGTTATGAGATATCCTGTCTATGTTATATACCCACATACTTTAAACTTCAATCTCTAGTTGTGTAATAATTTTGTAATTAAAAAAATATTGAGAAAGCAAAATGGCTACTTATTACCTACCATTCTTATTCAATTTCTTCACTTGACCTACCATTTTATTAAATAGTATCCACTATAAAGAACTCTGCTGTTGACCTACCAAGACGGTGAAGCAACATGTAGTTTAATTACAGATACAGACATGTAGTTTCATTTCATCGGAAGAAACTATACCTCTCATCTCCCTTCGATTTGAGATCTGACTATTTCTCGTGGGACTTTTCCTGTTAAGTGTGAACTATTATCGAGCGAAAAACAGTGAGAAGTGACAAAGAACTGAGGAGATTTCTATGGTCCTGCTGGCTGCCGGCTGCCGGCTGCCGGCTGCCGGGCTGCCGTAGGACGGAGAACAAAAGCGCCAGCTCCTCCAGCTTGGTCTTGGAGTAGTCTGCTAGGCAACCGGCAACCCCTAGCCTAGCCTGATACGGCCGAGGCTATCTCCTTCCCGGCCACTTCGAGCACCTCCTTGGCCCTGTGCGCCAGCTTCTCGCAGATGTTCCTGGCGATCCTCTTCTGGAACTTGCTGCTCTTGAACCACTCGATGCCGACCAGTATCTCGCACCGGCTGCTCGGCGCCTCCGACGTGGCGCTCTGCACGTTGTACCTCAGATGGACCTGTGCGCACAGCTAGTCACATCACCGTCCCACCTACGTGCTCGCTCGCCGATCTCTTCTACGGAGTATGTAACATGGAATCAACAATGGCGCGAGCGCGTATATACCCGGAAGTAGTCGCCGAAGGGGACGTTGTGGAGCGTGACGACGTCGTGTATGGTCCACCCGCCGCCGTCCTCCGCCGGGAACTTGAGCTGGGTGCTGACCACCTCGCCGCCGAAGATGGACATGTACCGGTTGAACTTGTAGCTGACGTGCCGCTCCAGGACGCCCAGCCTCGCGGCCTCCCAGGGGGTCGCGGAGTAGTCGAGGCACCCGACCCGGCTCATCGTCCGCGTCTCCAGGGCTCCCCCGTCGAACACACCCATGAGCACATCAGCCTGCGACAACCCAAGTTCAGGTTTTCGAAAGCACATATACATAGCCGCATGCTAACAACTGAATTCGACTCTGCTTTTTGCATTGTTTATCTCGTTATTATCTGGCGTAGTTACGTTAGTGAAACTGTGAAAGCAACAGCTGTCCTATGTATATGTATCATGTATGGTAAGAGGAGCATTTCAACCGATGAGGCGCAGGCTAAGCCAAACCAACTGATAAAATCCTGTCAGCAAAAGAGGCAGTCAAATAAGCGTAGGGATCTCACGTACGTCAATCGGGTGTTCCAAAGTATACTCCTTCGAGAGAGGCACGTCTCCAATGCTCAACACAGCTTGAACAGCATCAAGATCAACGGAGCTCGCATCTTCTTCACGATCTCCTTCCAGTTTGGACCTCTGTTCAATGGCCGACGATTTCGTTTTCCACAGACCAATTATTGTCCTGTGATAGACAGGAAAAAATACACAGTTTTTTCATCGGTCAGGGCGTCCTAGTACTGATACTGATGGCTAAACAAACAATTGAGAGATGACCACCTGCTAGCCTTGCTGAACGATGCAAAAGAGTGGAACTGAAACTTCAGTCTCCCTTCCTTGTCTTGGGACTTTGCACCACTCTTTGCGTCGAGTCCCCGGCCACTCTTCAGAATAAACAGTAGCGATGGGGTGCCTACGGTTGTGAAAGATGGCTGTAGCACTTCGATCTCCTCCACGTCTTCCCACAGAAAGAAGAATTTTGTTTTGTGTCCAAACAAATTAGCATAGAAACCAACTATTCTGGAGGACACAAACAGCCTCCCCTGCGGAAGCAGCAGCAGCAACCAATTACAATTTACATGTGAGCATTCATACATAAGTATGACTGTATGAGTGTATGACATGAAAACTAACAAATAAACTACTTGTGTGAGATGTCATGTTTGTTTTAGTTGTCCAAAGAGCACAGGGCAGTAGCTATGGTCCATCGCACCATCAACTAATTATTCTGTGCTTCTAGTAAATTGCTGATCTTGCAGAGTTCATAAAGCCAACCTTGACGGTAAAACCCAGCACTTGTAGAGAATTTACCTGCAAAGGCAGATTTCTTTTCAAGGAGCATGCATAATCTGCTATAAGGAATTCTTCGTCTGGCAGATTAAAAAGCTTCTGGAATGTTGAATTTCTGTGAGGCGACCGAACAGGCAACTGCAACACACGCAGGCACACTGTCAAGAGGGTTACAACATGTGAAGGGATCATGAGCACAAATTATCCGAAGTTACCTTTTTACCAACTTCCTTCTCCATCTTACTCAGGTATTCTCTCATCGATGTCTCCGGTCCTTTTGTGTTCTCTAGAAATACTCTCAAATGTAACCGACTCTGACATGTCTGGGCAAGTTTTCCCTCCAGGGGCACCCATATGTCTGCCAGTTCTACTGATGTGTGTTTCAGGAAATTAATTTCAGCATGTCCAAGGGAAATAGCCAAATCAAATGGACCATCGAAATTGAAAACTTCAACATCCAACACGGCAGGTGGTTCTTCCATGGCATCAAATTCCATTATCTCTGCAATGTTCTTTCAGTTTTGTTACAAACAGTAAATCAGATAAGGCTACAAGCTTAATCATAGGTCTGAACGTGCTAGCAGGTGAAATCTACTCACCGTTCCATTGAGGTTCCTGAGTCTGAAGTTGAACAGAACTTGTTCTTGTTATGCCATTACAGCTGAACACAACATAAGGGTCAACTGATCCACATGAAACGGGTGGCAAGCTTGTAGCCTCTAGCAGAGCTACAGTTAACAGCCAACCGTCACCATTTGCTTTAACCCCATGATCACTTCCTGCCATGAAAGGTGGCAGATAAGTATCATTCATGACATCACAGAGTCGAAGAATCAAGCATGTATATGTATACGAGAAAAAAAACAACAATTGAAGAGAAGAGCATACCTCTCTCTAACCTTGCCTCTACAAAATGAGCGACCATATTCAGTAAACGCTGTAATTGAAGGACTAGTATACCCGCTGTGATCAGCTCTCCGAATGAGTCAGGTAGATCTAGGCCATTGAACTCGAGGCCCATGATTGGGCCTGGTTTTGACAGAAAGATGTGCACAAGAACATATAGTGCAAATAGCACTGTCGAAATGGCAGTGAAATTGCAAAAATACTTGTAAGCACGCCTGATATCTGACTGGTGTTCTACCTGCAATGGTGCGAGCAACTGCTCTTTATCCATCCCTACAGAATCAGCCATTTTGACATGCCTAGACAGTACTTCAGCAAAACCTTCGAAATTTTCTTTCAACCCATCTCGAACACACCCCTCAATCATGCTTCTCATCATGGTGCTCTGAAGGAACTCTACATTGTATGATACAGTCAGATGCGCGCTTTCTTCACCTCCTGATAACCCGGTGCTGTGGATTATCTTGTAGAGCAAAACAACTGCAAAACAGTTCCCAAAGGGCACTTCAGGAGTACGAACACGAGTCATAATCACAAAATTCTTGCCATCTGCTTTAAGATAGGTCTGCTCCTCACTAGTCTTGACAGCTTTCATAAACTTTGATGCGCCTTTGGTGTATTGACATGTCCTAGTTAAGCTAGGAGGATCCATGCTCTTCCATGTCCACGGCTGCTCCTCATAGTCCATGGTACCTTGAAGTTCACGCAGATCTTTCAAGAACTGAGAATCAGGTCTGAACAGAAGATGGTTCAGTTCTTTTGACTCCACAAGGTAAGTATGCTCAAATATGATGCTGCCGTCAAGATCTTCTGGCATTTCCGGTGTGCTTCTAGATTTCATGATCTCCGTAGCTTCTTCAAAGCTGGCATCTGGAGCCATATGTTCGGTGTCACTCGCACCATTTGCTGTTGCCGTACTAGTCTCTGCTAGGTCATCAACTTCAGTAATTGAGTTGGAATCTTCATGTATGAAATGGTCAGAGTTATCTAGAGAAGTCCGCTCTGTGTCATGGCTCCTGGGAGAATCAACCACCCCACCATTAGAACTTGAATGTTCCATATCAAGTGATCTCTCCACTTCAGCATCGGTGTAGCTTCTGGAGCTCGAAGAAGGGGACATGTGGACGACAGAATTGTCATTGTTTTCTCCATAAAGTGAAAAGCTGAGGAGAATTTTCCCTGGTTGAAAGCAATACGAATGAAATCATTACGGATAGACCATTCGTGTGAAGTAATGGAAAGTGTAATCATCATATAATCTAGGCTCTAAAGTGTGCCCAGTATAACCATGATTAAGCAGTCCTTAAACCATTTTTTAAAGAATCTGGCAGGGTAAGCAGTCCTTAACTGAAGAAAGAAATATAATAGCATATACTGAACATCTGAAACCTAAAGTTGTCTTGAATTGGACGGGACCTGAAAAATTGGATCATATCTACGGTTCAGGTACATACGCTGTTATAAAACTAAAACGTACCATCCGTCACTAGCATCTCGATCCCAAGTTAAAAGTGGTCAATCCTGGGCATACTTTCCGACAGACGCTATTTTATAGCAGAAGCATGCCTAGCCACATGACAAGGATCAGCATTCCATCAGATTACAATCTGCTGTTCCGTAAGCATCACGGTTAACTAATAATTATCACATCACACGTATGCGACCGACTCCGTAGTCCGTACTTGCTAATGACTCACGGTTACGGAAGTTTACGCCTGATAGCGGCATGCGGGAATCCGACCGAGCGCTACCCTGCACTTGCGTGCTGCAATTGGCAAAGACGCGCGGTGGCTTCGCCCAAAAGCCTGCCGCGCGCGCCGACCAGCACGATCGAGCAATGCGTAAGATAAGCACGGCAGAAAACGTCGAGCGTATCGAGCTCGCGAAAGCAAACTTGTGCACGCACCGCAATCCGCCGCGGTTTCGTCGCCGCCGCCGTCGACGACGCCCTTCCGCCGTCCGCCTCCGCCCTCGGGCGGCAGCCGCAGCGTGAACCACGTCGGCGGCACGGACCGCCACCGCCTCTCCCCCGGGGCAGCAGCAGCGGTGGCGGGCGGCACGGGCAGCCTGACCGTGCCCACCACCTCCCTCCCGCTCCCTCCCCGCCGCCGCCGCGCCACGGCGACCTCGAACTCCTCCTCGTCCCCAGCAGCTCCGTCCGCCGCCCCCACCGCGAACACGAACTCCTCGTTCCACGCCGCCGCCGCCGCCGCGCCGCCCAGCTCCGCCGCCTCCACCGCCCGCGTCCGGAACCGCTGCTTCCCCACCGTCACCTTCGCGTAGAACAGCACGCCACCACCGCCGCGGCCGCGGCGCGGGGCTGGAAGCCCGCGCGCCTCGAGCACGTACACGTAGAGCCGCATGGCGATCGCGGTAGCTAGCTTAGCGCACGCCGTGGAGGGACCCTGGCTCAGAATTTAAGTAGTGGGGAGCGTCCGGCGGGCTGGGGAGGGGAGGGGAGCGTGGTTGTAGTTTGGAGGTGGCGGTTGCGGGTCTGGCCGTCTTGGGGCCCTGACTGACGTGTGCCGAGCGCACGGGCACGCGGCGGGATGAGGAGCGCGACACGCGGCGCTGGGGATGATGAGGCGTGCGGCGGTTTGGGTTAGGCGTCGGCGTCTTGATTCTCGAGTCTTGACTGAGAGAAGGGAGGGAACGGAAGTTCCGAAGCTGTCAGTTGTCACGGCGAGCGCTGCGGAGGCGTTGGTCGCGTTCGCGTCGCGGCTTTGAATTCTCTGGGCCTTCGAGATGTCAGATGTCCGTGCCTGCTCGTCGTGCTGTCACTTGTGTAACATTTCACATTTGCCCATCTCCCTACGGATGACGTCGATGCCCGGACTAGAGGAATGGAACCGCGGTCTCGTCTCTCCAGAAGTAGAAGCGGATAGAGAGGCAAGACAAAACAACCATGAACGCATGGCTTGCCAACAGCAACTTTTCTCGGGTTTCGACGAGGAGCGCCCAGCAGCGGTTTGTCTTCACCGGCGCTGCGAAAGGAAAAGCAGGCGGTAACACTACTCGATCGTAGCTACAGGTACATACTTTCAAAAGCATTTAGGCTTTGAATGGCTTCAATCCACGTGTGTTAAGGTGGATTAGCATGAAACTTAGTTAAATTTCACTTCAATCCAAACATGTGCACTCAAACAATGCCTTGGTTTATATGTGGAGTCAAAACATTTACAATGTACTCCCTTATAATGTCTTCAATGGATATAAAACATTTGAGATATATTCTCCCAAGACGATAGACAAACATTGCCAAATGGAAAGAGTGTAATCCAATATGAATGCCTTTTTGAAAACTCAAACGACGGTAAATGCTTGTAAAAATCATTAATAAGATCCATATCCTTCCCCATAAACAGATCTTTACATTCATAAACTGGACTACATGTTACAGATTACTTCCGGCACTGAGGACGATGATGTACACTACAACAATCTAATCTAGTAATCTACAGTAATTGAGATCAGTATGCTCAGGCCAAATGCATGCTTGTTCGCTGCATCTTTTGAACGCAACATTACCTTAGATTAACTGCCTCAGCCGCAGCAGCATCGAGCTGAAGCCGCAGAAGAGATTTTTCTCGAAAGGCCAACCCCAGGAATATGCAGCAGGCAGTCTCATGGGCAGCACAACCCGCCGAAGAGATTTTTCTCGAAAGACCAAACCCGCAGAAGAGATAGATCGATAGATCACTTTCATGTCAAGGCCTGATGCCTAGTGTGAGATCAAACTCTTTTTGTACTTCACAGATCATATCTTGTTTGAGATCTGGAACACCACATTTATTAGATATAAAAAATAACAAATTCCAGGAAGCATTAATCTTAACACAGTACAATTGGAGCAATATGCAATACTCATCACTTCATCAGCATCAGAAGATCAATTATTCCCCTTTCTTTTCTTCCGCTTCTTTGAGGTGTTGGAGGCAACATTGGTTGCTGGAGCAGCAGGTGCGGCTACAGGAGCTACTGCTGGTGGAACTGCAGGGGGAAAGGGTGGGAACACCAAGGGATGAGGATGCATTGGTACTAAAAACATTCCTGGGGCCACAGCTGCTGAAGGTGGCGCCATAGTCATCAGAGTTGGGGCTGCCGCCATTTGAGCAGATGACACCACCGTGACTGAAGCCACTGCTTCAGTCGGAGTCGAAACTGATGTTCCATTGCCAACTTCTTCTGTGGATGGCTTCGAAAACTTTGCACCGTTTTTACCAGCAGAAACTGGACTCTCTCCAGGCCTTTTCTCTTTTCGAGACTCCTCAAACTTGCGCACTTTCTCTTTAGCTTCTTTCATCACAGAAAGGACGTACTCCATCGCATCAGGGTCAGTAGCTCCCATTTCCACAATGTCAGCAAAGTACCGGTGTCCATGCTTGTAGAGATTGTCCGCTTGATCTTCCCGAATGTTTTCTGGTTTTGAGCTCTTCCCTGTATCTTTAGCAGCTTTCAGTGAGATGGGGGTTTCCTTAGGTTCCTCGGGGCATTTGTAGTCCTTCCGCCATCGATCAAGAATATATTTGGGAGGTATTAGCATCACAAGCTCTTGCTTCAAGACAGCAAGAGCATGGCTACACAAAATACCTTTAAATTGGAATGACCTACAGATGCACCACACTTCTTTCTCAGCACTGTTATACATCACTCTGTAGTCAAACTTCCTCTCCTTTCCAATTACGGTTACCGTGTATGTCGCTATTGAGCCATTCCTACTGACTTCAGTGCAATTCACATTCATCAGCTGCTTCAACTGATCCTGGAATTTCTGGAACATATTTATTGTATAAACATTTGCAAATTGCTCCTCAAACAGAAGACCAGACAGGACTTGTGGCCTTTGTTGAAATGAACGGAAATCATCATAGGCTTCTCGATCAGACCTGAGCTTCATAGCAGTATCGAATTGTTCAATGAATGTCTTTATTGTGGTTTCTGGTGTAATATATCCATCAAAAAAGGACTCCAATCGTTCACTACGACGAACAGTGGAGATACCAGCCCAGAAAGTATCCTTTACATATGTTGGTACCCATTTTGCCCTCTCTTCAAACAAGGTTGTAAGCCACTGGTTATCATGAAGATTATATTGATTGATCATTTCAACCCACTCCCTCTCAAAATCAGCTGATGTAATTGTATCATAGACTACTTTTTTCATTCTCAGACTGACTGCTTCTTTATCCTCAACTCTTCCAGACATTTCAGGAAGTTCTTTCATTATATGCCAAAGGTTGTATCTGTGCCGAGTATTTGGAAATACTTCATTGACAGCTTTGACTACTGGCCTTGAATGAGTCGTAACAATTGCTTCTGGTTCTTTATCATTCATACATTTTAGCCATTTTTTGAATAACCATGCAAAAGTCTCTGGAGACTCGTCTCCAAGTAGACCACATCCTAACAACACAAACTGCCCATGATGGTTGATTCCCAGAAACGCGACCAATGGAATGACAAACTGATATGTCAAATAGACAGTATCAAAGCAAATAACATCACAAAAATGTTGATATGCAACTCTGGATCTAGCATCAACCCAGCAAACATTCTTGAGCCGACCTTCATCATCCATGTCCCAGTTGTAGAAGAAGTTGGAGTTTTGAGCTTGCATCTTATCAAAAAAAACTAAGAGTGCCTCAACATCACCCTCTGCAAACCTCAACTTTCCAGTCTTCCCTGCCCCATCAATGGAATAATTTGACTGGGAGAAGGATTTCACCATGAAATCTTTGTTTTGGTTGGGTGGCCTGCCTCTACCAGAGTGAATCTTCGGGTTCAATCGAGTTTTGGCATTGAATGGGCGGTGCTCCCTTTGCCAGTCAGGAAGATCTTTAAAGCACATCATGAATCTGACCATCTCAGGATTGCATGGGTGGTTATGTTCCAACTCAACAAAAACCACTTCCCAATGGTTCTCACTGGCATTAAACTTCACTACCATCATTGCTTTGCAACCAGTCTTTGCAACAAGCCTCCTTCGAGCTTTGAGGCCAGGCTTAATCCTAGCAATGCCACCTTTGTAACAAACAAATGTAGCACGGTATTTAACCCCATCAACACTGTGGGAGGTCCTCTTTGAGACCCCAAAGCCTGCACAATAGCCATACTCTAGGTAGAATTGATATGCCAGATCAACCGTCTCAAAGGTCATGCCAACTCGAGGGCTGACAACCTCATGCTTATCCAAAACTGTGCTATTGTTCTCAAAGGACATGGAGCCATCCCTAACTTGTAGTTGCAAGCTGCTCCTGGAATAAGGGTCGCTATGAAAGGTGTCCATTGTTTCAGGTTATCTCATCCTAGGTCAACATAACTGAAAAAACAAGAAGTCTGTAAGAACAGGTTCAAATAGACCACAAAATAAATGTTTTAGTAAAGAAACCTATATTTTCTTAAGCATTTCAATTTAAACTAAACAATACTTGGACAACATAAAGAATAAGAAAATACTCCATCCATTCCAAATTATAAGTCACTTAGACTTTTTTGGTACATCAATTTTGCTATGCATCTAGACATATGTTATATCTAGATGCATAGCAAAATGGATGTACCAGAAAAGTCAAAGCGACTTATTATTTGGAATGGAGGGAGTAGCAATTAACTTATATGAGCAAATAGCACCACAAACTAATGTCCTACATGGACATTTGAATGGGATTATGTGAAAGCATAGTGTTCCTATTTTCCCTAGGATTCATTCCATTCCGAATGTCTCGATTCACAAAGAACAATAATCTAACGTATTGATTAATTGTGTGCTAAGTATCATTCCTGATGAGTTAGACGTCAAAGAACATTTACTCTCCTCTTTTTTTGGCAAAAAAAGAGAGATAGAAAGTGGGAAATTATGGGAGTAAACCCTTCATTGTCCATAACTCCCAAAACTGGAGAACAAACCCAATTTCATCCAATTGTTAATCTCTCTGAACAAAACGTGTGATGCAGTTGTGAGTAACGACCAAATGGAACACTAAGAATCAAACATCAATCCCAAATAAGAAAGAAGATCAATTGGAGTGCTTTCAGAATGAGTAAATTTCACTAGCGGTCCTCGAACTTGTCCCGAGTTCTCATCTAGGTCCTGACACTTTCAAATTGCACATTCAGCTCCCGAAACTTGTTCTGAGTTCTTATCCAGGTCCTGATACTTTTAAATTGCTTGTTTAGCTCCTTAAGCTTGTCTCAAGTTCTCATCTAGGTCCCGAATGATGCATTTAGCTCCATAAACTTGTCCCAAGCTCTCATCCTAGTCCTAACACTTCAAAAATACATGCCCAACTTCCTAAAATTGTATTATTGTACCATTCCGGTCCATCGCCTCCCCTACCACACTGTGTTTCATGTGCAGAACTAGCTTCCTAGGACCTACTTCGTTGCTTAGCCGTCCTTGTCGTGCTTGCCCTACCACACGTCCCAGCCAAGCCTTCGCTACTATGGCCCTCCTCGATTATGCTTGACTCGCTCCTGCTCTACCTCACCGTGGCATCGGCCCTTACCTCGTGGCAATCGCATTCAACACCACACCACCGCACTCCTTCTGCTCCCTCGTCGAGTAGGAGCTCATGCTCATTCTCATTCTCACCACCACTTCACACTTAGTTCCCCACCTGAGTGTGCAATTGAAAAGTATCAGGACCTGTATGAGAACCCGGGACAAGTTTAGGGAGCTAAATGCGCAATTTAAAAGTAACAGGGCCTGGATGAGAACTTAGGACAAGTTTATGGAGCTAAATGTGCAATTTAAAAGGACCGGGACCTGGATGAGAACTCGGGACAAGTTCGAGGACCGCCAGTGAAATTTACTCTTTCAGAATCATCGGGATTTGGCAAAAGGTTGTTTGTTTAACAGATAACCGTCGGCGGTGTCGTTTACCAATCACCATATCATGATTGCCCTGGGCCTGGATAGGTCCAGATATTTGTAAAGCAAATAGCGAATGTCACGCTTTCACGCAGAGGCAGTTTTCACTTTCCAAATGAGAAGTTTGCTTTTATATGAACATAAAGCCTCAGAGCGTGCAGCATGGTATCTACTATGATACTATACAGCTGCTATAAAGGTGTTACATGCATAGCTGTCTTGCAAATACAAGTTGAATAATTATGACTGAAATTTCATTTATAGTGACAGAGAAATTTGATAGATAAGCTATTGCAAGTAGAGGGCAGGGCTTGATAAAAATGCATGAATACTAGAGCAATTCCATGATCATGCTATATTTTTGTACCAAAATCCTTACATATATATGGGATAACACCGCAATGCTGGATTGTGTTTCATAGGTCAAGACAATACAAGCCTTGAACTTTCAATTAATATGTTCAGGAAAGGAAGAGCATTATAACTAGGAGAAGGAATATCACTATTCTTGTCATGGTGTATACATGGAATCTAAATTCCTAAATTTGAAAAAAATAACACCATGGAATATATATCAGCTTGCTGAAGAAGTTTAACTTCTCAGAGGATAGAACATGAACACTAGAGTGGAAACAAAACTATTACCACAGCCTTACGGGGAACAGACAGAGGCGGGCCAAATTTGGGTCATGGGTAGTACAGTGAAGAGTGGCGGATCTGGTGAATTGGCACAGCCAGGTCACCAACTAGGACCTAAACCACCCACACCAGGGCACATACCGACAGGGGCAGACCTGGGCCTAAGGCCCTTAGGGCCCAGGCTCTAGTCGTTGGCCTAGTAGCACTTTATACCCCATATAGTTTTAGGGCCCATAAACGAAGGCACAGTAAGAAAATGACTAGGGCATGCTTCCCAGCAACAAGGATTCAGCCTCCTGTTTCTCCCGACTGCGCCCGAAGTGCTGCAATATGGAGTCACAGACACGGGAGAAGCCGAGAACTCGAGAAGGGGAGTCAACGACAGGCGATGGCAACCCAGGGGCCACGCCGCCACCACGCCAGCCGCTGAGGTCGCCATGCCGGCCTCCGCCACCAGCCACCGCATCACGCCGGCCACCGGGTCGTCAGCCTCCGACTCTGCCTGGTTGCCGGCTGCTGGACATGGAAGATGTATGCTCAATAATTAATCTTTGTTTTTTGTCACCTTGTCATTTACATTTCCATCTTTTGCAGATCCAGGTCTTGATGCTGACATGGAAGATGCCGAATTGCGGATGAACCACCTCACTGCTACTAGGTATTTATTTTCCATGTTTAGTGTGCAATGTTCTTAACGGTTTCAGTTCAATCATCGTATCTATTAGAAATTTTACAGTCATTTTACTAATTCTCCGTGTGATGTTAATGGGTAATTTTCAGTCATGAGCAAATCCTGAGTCCGCCACTACATAACAACAAAAGTAAATAAAGCATTTTCGCACACAATTTATATGGTATTTCAGTTCCACACTCTCAATTGTACATGGAAACATGAAGCGAGGAGCGATACAAATAAACTAATAACGGTTTGGCTCATCCTCACCTCATATCTTCATCAACAATAGCACCAGGGGCGGATCTAGTAGAGGGACATGGGCGTACACAAGTAGACCCAATAATTTTTGCAAAAAAGTTAGAAGTTTAGTAGGCATCAAATAGCTTGAGGGTAGAGTTTGAGAACTCGGTTCCGCACAGCAGACAGGGAAGAGGAGGAGAGAGGGGGGTGGGGTGGGGAGAGGGGCGGCGGGAATACCTGTTGGGCGCTCTTCGCCAGAGAAGAGATCGGCCAAGGCCTCGGCACCTGGCGTAGGGCGGCGGCGGCGGTAACCCACCCAGTCGTCCCAGAGAGAGAGAGCGCGCACGCGGTGTGAAGGTGACGGATGCGGCGGCGCCGGCTGCCGCCCAACTAGGACCCAATCTGGGAAGAGGGAGGATCGACCTGGACTGAGGCACTGGCGGCGGCGCGACTTGAGAGCCTGGCGGCGGCGGCGAACGGACGAGAGGAACGCAAAGAGGGAGACAGGAACAGGGGAGGTGGTGGACGGTTGGGCTTGGGCTTCAGATAGATTTTTTTTTTTAATTTGCTTCTAGTTAAAGCCCACTGATATAGCTACCTCCGTTTTAGGGAAAAAAAATACCATTCTCGTTTTTCTTTCGAGAGGTCAACTGATTTTTTATATTTAAAAAATACTAACATTTTTTATATAAAATAAGTATTATTAAATTAATTACATAATATATTTTTATAGAAAAAATATTTGAAAATGTAAAAGCTAATACTATTTACAATAAATTTGGTTAAATTTTAGCTAGTTTGACCAGTACGGATTTCATAATTGTATTATTTTTGTAGCGGGAAAGAGGGAGTACATCTATAAGACTACATGAGCCAATATACTCTCTATGTTCTAGATTATAAGATACTTTGGTTTTTCTAGATATATAACTTTTGCTATCCTAGATATACATTGTGTCTAGATGCGTAGTTAATGTATCTAGAAAAGTTAAAACGTTTTATTATTTGAAATAGAGGAGTACTTATTTTTTTGGTATTATCTTAATAACAAGCTAAAAGTTTGGCTCAACTCGTGATAGGTGACAAAGAAAATATATAGAATCAACGATAGAGCATTTACCAACACAATTTCCGAGAAGAATAATGAAAGGAGAAAGCTAATCTAAATCAATATGTGCACTACCACACACACACATATATATATATATATATGCGACAGGGTACCATATTATATTCACTGAGAACGATTCAAAATTCAAATTCTGAGATCTCGGGTTACTATTCACATCACTATTCAAATTCAAATTCACTATTCAAATTCGCGGTTACTATTCAAATTCGGATTATGAACAGTGCACGAGGGCAGCCCAACCACTTCGCTATTCAAGGCTGGAGTCCTCTGCAAGTGTCGCTTTCACGCGAGAATATTTTATAGAATGATTTTAGCGAATATAATATTGATATGCTATTCATTATTAGTTAAGCTAGTGCTTAGTGAATATGCTTATGCGGATGATTATTTCTAAGGATCTTTTGCAATGTACTCACCAATGCGCATGCATCATCGGCTCTATGCTTGTGAACTACTTAGTACTCACCGTATGCATCAGCCCGATCTACTCTTTAGAACCAGAGCTAGCTATCTACTCCCTCGCTATCCCCAGCCATGAACACACAGGACTCAGGCCCTATCATCTCCTCAGGCAGTTCCACCCAAGGGGAACACTTCTCTATGAACGCAAGGTTCTCTACAAACGTCGCTACTAGGGCTAACACGAGAACAACACACGCAGAGATTTCTCCTCTAGGGTCCATAGCATAGAGACGTCGCCCCATATGAACGAGTTTGAAGAAAGGCAGG